ACCTAAGTTAGAGGTTTTTGCTTTGCAGACAAAATAACCTTAAGTAGCACAGTATCCTAGTTCAATCATCTGACACATTTGTATACTTCAAACCAGTTTCTCAAACTCAAAACTATTGACATTTCCGCCAAATAATTATTTGTTGTGGGGACTGTGCTAGGCACTACAGGATGTTTAGCAGCATCCCTGGCCTCTACACCCGCCCGCCTGCACTCCGCACCCCCCGCCCCACGTTGTGACAATAGGAAATGTCTCCAGACATTGCCAAATATCCCTTAAGGGGCAAAATCACCTCTGATTGAAAACTACAGCTTTAAAGTTTATACAAAGACTCCACCCATGTGTGGTGAACGTCTGTCTTTCCAACTCCCGTTTCCAGTAAATCTTGTGTCCAGCACAGTCTGTATAAGCCAAAGGGCAAGCGTGAGGGGGAAGGGGAAAGGGAGCATTTTTTAAAGTTCATCTACTTTGAGAGAAAGAGAGAGCACAAGCAGGGGAGGGGCAGATAAACAGGGAGAGAGAGAATCCCAAGCTCTATCAGTGAAGAGGCCAATGCCAGGCTCAAACCTGCTCAAACCTGCAAACTGCAAGTTTATGATCTGACTCTAAACCAAGAGTCAGAAGCTTAACTGACTTAAAGAAAAAAAAAAAAAAGAAAAGAAAAAAAGCTTAACAGACTAAGCCACTCATGTACTCCAGAAGAGGGAGCATTTGTATCTGAATCTTCCCCACTCCTTTTCAGGTCCTGGCTTAAATACACTCCAGTTTCTAGCTTCTATTTTCCTCCTCTTCTCCTTTGCTCCCGCATACAAGTACACATGGCACAGTAACAGATAATGAGTCCTTGAAAGGCAGCTCCTGTTCTTATTTCCTTTCTTATATTTGCTCTAACTTTTCTTTAAAACTCTCCATTCCCTTGGGGAAAAATTCTCTCCTGGAAAACACTCCAAATACATTCTGCGCTGGTTACAGTATGAAAGATCTGGGTAATTTCTCTTCAAAGACTTTTCCTGACTCACTTCTCTTAAAATGTAACTAATTCAACCCCCCTCTTTCCCTACACAGACACTCCTTCAGCCCGCCTGACCTCTTGCCCTCTCAGCCTTGCCCTTGCCTGTTCCCTGGCTCGCTCTCTGTCTCTCTCCTCCCCCATTCAGCTTCAGATCAGTTCCAAGTACACAATCAATCTTATTTACAACGTAACACATGTTTGGTATACAAACTAAACCAGGCAAGGACAAGTTTAGCATTTACTTAAAGCATTTATTAATCTCTTAAGAATTTCTCTTCTAGGGGTGCCTGAGTGGCTCGGTCGATTGAGCATCCGATGTCAGCTCAGCTCATGATCATGCAGTGAGTTTGAGCCCTCCATGGGGCTCTGTGCTGACAGTTCAGAGCCTGGAGCCTGCTTCCGGATTCTGTTTCTCTCTCTCTCTTGGCCCCTCTCCCATTCATGCTTTGTCTCTCTCTCTCTCTCAGAAATAAATAAATACTAAAAAAAATGTTTTAATAATTTCTCTTCTATGCTTTTCTCTTATAGCAGTTTCTCAAGCTCCTATATCTGGGTAGCACTTTTTTTTTGAAACATTATTTCACTTTTTTTTTAGGTTTATTTTTTGAGAGAAAGAATGCGGGCGCGCACAAACGGGGAAAGGGCAAAAAGAGAGGAGGATAGAGGATACAGGGCAGGCTCCCAGATGGCAGCAGAGAGCCCGATGCAGGGCTTGAACTCACAAACTGTGAGATCATGACCTCAGCTGATTGCAGATGCTTAACCCACTGAGCCACCCAGACGCCCCAACACTGGTTTTAATGTTAAATTTCACCATACTTCAATCCCAAAGCTCAGAGTAAGTATTCTCTTTTTCCTGTTGGTTTCTATAGTCTTCTTCCTCACGAGAAGACCCCATATAGAAAGGGTCATTTTCCTAGTCCTTTCTTTCCAGGACAACAAAGACATATTTACTTAATAATTCAATTACCCACTGCTTCCTAAAACCACAGGTAAACTGGTCATACCCAAAACCCAATAGTATTGGTGGGATATAGTCTTAGTTAAGAAAATGTGAGGGAAAATCAATGCTTTGATGCCATTTATTTTTTAAAAAGTTGTTGAGGGCCTACATTATGCTAGACTCAAAACAAAATCCTTGCCATCATGTAGTTTACATTCAAGTGAGAAGACAAAGAGCAAGCATATATATGGGCAGATAAGAATGAAAAGGTGGTCACATAAGGCATCTTCAAGAAAATGTCATGTCATGAGTGGCACTCACTGGCTATAAGAAATGTCTATTATTGGAAGGCAATGTGTTCTATTTCCTATTAAACATTATTAAATTGTCATCTGATGATTATATCAATACAGATACATCTTTATCACTGAATAATCTGTAAAACTAAGCCTGACCCAGGTAATTCCAAAAGTTGATCCCTACTTGAATAACTGTAATTTATTATAACATCCACTTTGTTTCATCTATTGTCCGTTAAATTTATAAAAGCTATATTTTTCCTAAGAGATCAAAGTAATAACAGTAAGATTAATATATTAACCAAGAATATGAATGACACTCTTCAAGTATCTGAGGTTTGAAATATGAAATAAGTAAAAACTCAAGTGTTTCAAAAACTCACTTTGTATTCAGCCATAAAAAAAGAATGAGATCTTGCCATTTCCAACAACATGGATCTAGAGGGTTTTATTATAAGCGGAATAAGTCACACAGAAGAAAACAAATAACATATGGAAGTGTAATCTAAAGACGAAAACAAACATAAAGCAGAAACAGATCCATAAGTACAAAGAACAAACTGACAGTTGCCAAAGTAAAGAGTGGGGATGGGCAAAACAGGTGAAAGTAAGTGGGAGGTACAAGCTTCCAGTATGTAATGAATAAATCACAGAGATGAAAGGCACAACACAGGGAATTCAGTTAATGGTACTGTAATAGTGTTGTATGGTTACAGATGGTAGCTACACTTGTGGCAAGCATAGCATAACCAATAGAGTTGTCAAATTACTACGCTGTACACCTGAAACTGATGTTCATACTGTGTGTCAAGTCTAAGTCGAAAAAGAAAAAAAGGAAAAGAGAAAGAAAAGCTAAAGGTGCAAAATCAAAACCCTCATCTCTGAAAATATTCTCATTACTATTTACCACACAGTTATCAGAAGTCATACAGATTAAAAAGTACTAAGGGGCACCTGGGTGCTCAGTCGGTTAAGCGTCTGACTTCAGCTCAGGTCAGGGTCAGGTCATGATCTCATGGTTCATGGGTTCAAGCCCACATCAGGCTCTGTGCTGACAGCTAGCTCAGAGCCTGGAGCCTGTTCCAGATTCAAGTCTCCCTCTCTCTCTCTCTGACCCTCCCCTGTTCACGCGGTCTCTCTCTTTCAGAAATAAATAAAACATTAAAAAAAAGAAAAGTTTTAAAAAGTACTAAGAACATAATTCTGAATATGTATTAGTGGTCTCTTTTGTGAAGTAAGCCATCACCTTTCCTATTAATTTTTAAGTCTTTCTCAGCTAGAGCTCTACAAGAGAATTAAACTAATGCCTTAAGGCATTCATTGAATTAACTTTTCTCCTATGCATCTGGAATGGAACTAGCTATGTACCATCATCCTTGAAAGAAGGTGAAGAGAGTCAAATCACTTTCTGTAGGTCTGAATTTTCTTGTGGAACAGAGTATGACAAAGGCTGGAGGACATCTGATAAATCAGAATGTTACCTAAATAATAATTAAAAGGTAAAGGTAAAACCTTTTTCTAAAATAGGAATAACTCAGTATTGGACCATAAGACAACATAAAAGCTTTCTAACTACTGCTAATATTCAGAAATGTATATTCATAAATGCTGCTATAATTTGCTACATTTTAAAAAAGATGTTACATTTTATTCAATGTTTTAAGTAAAGGAAACATTTGCTGATTCACAGAAATATTGATTTTGTTCCCCAAAATACAACCTGTGGTACTCAATGATCCAGACAATCGAGAATTGTCTTTACCATATAAGCATACCAGTTAACCCAAGGTTCCTCCTAATAGCATTAACTTACAAATAACAGAGAAAAGGGCCACAACCAAGTGCTTAGAATTCGCTGTTAACAAGTTGGAGACAAGATCCCACATTTAGCCTGTGTCTTGAGACAAATATGGAGAAGCCAGAAGTAACAAACTGCCAGCTTTACTGAGTCATGTTTCTGACTAAAACCGCGTTATGAAATGGAAAGAATTACAAGTATTGTGTTTATCACCACAGATGTTGACTCCCTGAATTTACAGACCTCAAATTTTAAAAAGCCAAAAACTCTTTTTGCAAGAATGATGTGTAACTAAAACGATTCTGGAAAGAACTTGCCAAAGCTAGAAACTCTGGCTATTTACCTAAAACAAATCCTAACTGTGCAAACAGGCACACCCTCTAATTGCATCCGAGCGGGGCGGCGAGGTGGGGGTGAATTCAGAAAATAACAAGGTTAACATTTCACCGAGGAGACAAACCTCGGCCCAAAGAGTCCACACTGCTCCAGACGCCCTCGGTTAACGGAACCGTTCCGCTCCAAATGGAAGCAAGCACCGAGCTCGGGTTCGCCCCGCCACAAAAATCATCCCCAGCCTCCGCACAGGACCACCCAAGCGGGGTCCCCGGGACGCCCCCAGAGGCTGTGTCGGGGAGCGATCCCAGCGCGCTGCCTCCCCCCCGCAGCCCTCCAGGCTCGTCCGCGAGCCGGGCGAAGGAGAACCCGTCCAGGAGGGCCGACCGTAGAGGCCGGCGCCGGACGCCGCAGGCGACGGGAGATCAGGGCCGCGACCCCGGCCACGGCTGGGTCTGGGAGCTCAAGACTCGCCTCCCCCACGGCTGCCAGTCCCCGCCGCCCCCGAGGCTGCAAGCGGACTCCGGTGCCGGCTAGGTCGGAGGCGGACTGCGCCGCCCCTCCCCCCCACCCCCCATCCCCCACCCCGCCCACACACCCGAGGCTCTTGCTGACCTGGAGAGGTGCTTCAGGATCTGTTTCTTGATGAGCCCAGCCATGGTGCCGGGGCAGGAGGCGCCGCTCTCTTTCTGCGGTTCTCACTGCCTCCTCTCTTCGTGGCTGCCTCTTCGTTATCCGGGCTAACCCGGCCGGAGGAGAGTCGCCTGAGCGCTCACGCCCGGGAGAGACCGGACGCCCCGGCCGAGGCCACAGCCGCCGCCACCGCTGCCGCCGAAGACCGGGAGCATCGCGCTCAAGCCTCGTCGGCCGCCGCCGGCGCCATCTTGGCTGCAGCATCACCTAAGCGACCTGGGGGAGGGCGGGGCGGCGCGGACTCCGCCGGGGCGGGGCTGGGCGGGCTCTGGCCGGCGCAGGAGGTGTGCGGCCCCGCCACCCGCGTCCCGCACTGGGCGCGCGTCCTTCGCCGCCTTGACGCCACTGGGTGTTTTGACTTCCAGTCCCGGAGCCCTCTTGTGCTCCATAGGCCTCCCTCTCCACACTCTGGTCTTGCTCCGGCCTCCATCGCTAAGTGTTCCTTCTACATTCCTGCTTGTCTTTAGTTTTTCAGCATTTGCTCCACCAACTGCCCTGCTTGCTTTGCTCTCTACCTGCTCTACTCAGCTTTTTTTCATGTTCTTGCCTCGGTTTCTTCCCCTTTGCTATGATTTACTGCTCCCCCTCCCCCCACCAAGGCTCTAATTTAAATGTTTCCTCTGGTGATTCCAATCCTAATGGGATGTAAAAGTTGACAACTTCAAAAGATTCCAGGACCTGGGAATAAGAAGTCCTAAACTCAAGTCCTAGCTATATTATATTCTAGCAGTCTTAGCCTGGAGAAAATAATTTCCTTACTTTCAGCTTTGGCTTAACCATCTATAAAATAGGTTAATAATGCATTCCTTACCCATCTTCTTTAGGTTTGTTGTATCTAAGGAAATAAGAATGTAAAATTTCATTTGAAAATTTCTATAAAAAGGAAGGAAATTCTTGAAATAGGGACAACTATTACAGCTCTGAACTCCACCCCTCCTCCCCCCAGCCTCAAACCAACATTTTCTGAGGTGAAAATGGCCTCCCAGTGATGTCTAAAGGAGAGAAGGAAATTAGATTACCTTTCAGGAATATATCAGGAGGAATGTGGTTATGTATGGAAGAGTGGAAGTAGTTCTCACCTTGTCTAACAACCTGGCCTTTTTTAAAGAAAGGAAAGGAGATACTGGGTTGACTACTCACTTAACATTCACCATGCACTATAACCTAAGTACTATACAAGGATCTAGGATTACCTAAACAAGACCCAAAAAACCTATTCGGGGGAGAGGAGTGTATGGCGGGCTCAGGCCATAGAGTAGCAACTCTTGATCTCAGAATTGTGAGTTCAAGCCCCATCTTGGGCATACAGTCTTCTTTAAAAAACAAAAACAAAAACACCTGTTCTGTCATTAGTTAATGGCCTAGCAAGGTCTTAGTGCTAAGACCTTGAGCTATGTCATTAGACTCTGGGTCAAGTGCTATCTTAGCCATTTTGTAGCTATGCAAACTTGAGGAAGTTATTTAATTTGTCAGCCTCAGTTATCTCATCTATTGGAAATAATATTAAAACTTTCTAACTCAGAGTTTTGTGAGGTCTAAATAAGATTATGCATATAAAGTTTTCAGCAAACTGCTCAGCACACAGCAAGCTCTTAATAAATACTATTATCATTAACATTGATGAAAACAGAAGCAAAGTGTATGAGAACACAGGAAGAATTGATTCCTTCTACCTTAAGTCATTGACGGATTTACAGTGGGGATGTTATTTCAAAGTTGAGACTAAATCAGCTTAATGTGTTACCAGAACTGACCTTGAAGTCCAAGATTTGGATATAAAACCTAGCCTTGCAGATTTTTAGCTATGTGATCATAGAAGAAAGGAAGTTCTCAGGCTCTGTGATGGTTGTTGTGAGGATTAACCAAGCTGGTGAAGGTTTAGTGCTTAAGAGATTGTCAGACACAATAGAATGGAAGCTATTATTATTAATAATACAGAAGAGGATGTTTCAAGCAGGTGGAAATGTCAAAGTTCAATGCCAAGTAGACTACTGTTGTGGCTAGAACAAAATGTGGATTCCTTTTCAAAGTAATATGTGGGGGTACCTGGGTGGCTCAGTTGGCTAAGCATCCCACTCTTGATCTCAGCTCATTTCTTGATCTTAGGGTCTTGATCTCAGGGTTGTGAGTTCAGGCCCCATGATGGGCTCTGTGCTAGGCATGAAGTCTACTTATAAATAAGTAAATAAATAAATAACTCAGAGTACTAAGTATCAAGGAAACTCACAGCTGTATGTTATACTGTAGTTATAGTATTATTTTTAAAAAAATTTTTAATGTCTTTATTTTATTTTTAGAGAGAGAGAGAGAGAGACAGAGTGTGAGTGGAGGAGGGGCAGAGAGAGAGGGAGACACCGAATCTGAAGCAGGCTCCAGCTCTGAGCTGTCAGCACAGAGCCTGACGCGGGGCTTGAACCCACAGACTGTGAGCCGAAGTCTGACGCTTAACCGACTGAGCCACCCAGGCGCCCCATAGTATTAGTTTTTAAAAAGTTCAACTGAGCAAATCTGAGGATTTAATTAGCTTTATTAGGCAATTCACGAATACATAGCAAGTAGAGGGGAGATCCCAGGAAAGGAGTTATACAAAATGGGAAGGAAGGTGAGGCAGGAAGTTACTAGCCAGAAAAGAAAGGGAGAAATAAAGAAAAGATTGTTTCAGGCAAGGTCACCTTCCCTTCAGAGTCCTAGTAGGTGGATTACTTTATCTTGGGGGAGGGCAGTGGCATGCAGAATCACCTCCTGAATGACAGATTACCTCATTGGTGTAGACCAGAAAATTTCAAGTTAATTGGCTTAAAATTCTACACCTAGAGAGGTTGAAACTGCATTTAGGTCTTGGTTTGCTGTGGGCAACTGACTACCGTGAGCCTGTGGTTTTCTTTTCAACAATATATTTTTTACTGAAAAAATACATCTTCAATTTTTCTCTCCCTGGATTGAGAGAACATATAATGTCACAAAACCACTACAAATTCAGTGTTTTAAAATAGCTTACATTTTTCTTAATTGCTGTTTACTTATTATATAATTTCTAAAAAGCTAAAAACATGACTATCAGACAAATACATAATGAAGGTGCACTAAAGATTTATTAACTCATATTAATGAAAAAGCCAACAAAATAGGATATAGAGCTAGTTCACTCATTAATATGACTTAAATCTGTTGCACCTGTTTATTATGTACTTATAGCAGAGTCATATTTTTTTAACTCTTTTAAAATTATGTAAGCAGGAAGAGTCCCTCGAAAAAGATGGAATAGCTTCCTTCACATAAGTCATTTTAGCCTCCCAGCCATCTTCTGGAAGAATGTAAGAACAAAGAGCCACCATCAGACCAGAAGATAGTCTAATCATATTCAAAAGTGAAGATTGACCTGAGTCACACACTTGAGTTATCTTTACAAGATTTAAGCTCCTTTGAGCACCCAGATACAAAACCAACTAGAGCCAGAGTACTGATAATTAACCCTTGCCACCTTTCTTTGACCTGATCACCTTAAAATGAGGTGTGCTATATTCGCCATTGCACAAACCCCTTCATGAGTATCTATGCACCCTTAGGTTATAACTTCCCCAATTTTATTGTTCAGGGGACGCTGTTTTTGGAAGGATCCTTGGTGTTCTCCTTCACTTGCTGCAAGTAAAACCTTTCCTTTTCCTATTTTTTGGATAGGTTGTGTCATTTGGCTCAACACTCACCAAGAGGTGGACACAGTTTCAGGTAACAATTATATATTGCCAAAATATACATGCATATGAAAAATGTTAAAAAGAAAACCATAAAGGGGCACCTGTGTGGCTCAGTTGGCTGAGCATCCATCTGGCTCTTGATTTCAGCTCAGTCATGATCTCACCATCAAGAGATTGAGCCCCTTTTGGGCTCTGTGATGGTTGTGGAACCTACTTGAAATTCTCTCTCTCCCTCTCTCTCTACACCCCTCCCCTACATTTCTCTCTCTCTCTCTTTCTCTCTCTCTCTCTCTCTCAGAATAAGTAAATAAACATTTTTTAAAAAGGAAAGAAATAAAACATACACCCAAAATGAAGTCATTTATGCTAGGCCATGTCACAAAACAAATGCTTAATAACTAACCTAATTAAAGTTTAAAACTTCCTTGGGAAATACAGTCTTAAGTGGTAGGTCAGGAATTTTCTGATCAGCACCAATGAGGTAATCTGTCACAGGAACTCTCCACCTCCCACAAAGAAAGATAAAGTAATCCACTTAATAAGAACCCATGCCCTTCCCCTTTAGGGAACAGGACATTGCCTGAAAAAAAATCCTTTCTTGTTCTTTGTCAATATCTCCTTGCCCCACCCTTCTCCCTATAAAAACCTTCCATTTTGTACAGCACTTCTCCCTGGAGTTTCCTTCTAGTTGCTAGATTGGATACTGCCTAATTCATGAATCTTTCAGTAAAGCCAATTAGATCTTCAAATTTACTCACATTGTATTTAACAAAAGCAATACATGCTTGAGATTATTCAAGCTAAAATCTGGTAGGGGAGAGTGCATGTTGTGAAGGTAAATACAATCAGAGTTTTATTCTGAAGTTGGCTTTTACTAATTCCTGAGAACCAATTGTGTGCAACTCTTCTCAACTCTGCGTTCAGTGTTTGGTAACTTCAGGACAGTGTGAAATCGCCCTTTGTGACTATATTTATAACTGTGGTAAGCACTACAAATCAGATCTTTTTTTTTCCTCACTGGATATCAATTGTTAAACATTTACCAGCACACACTGTAAGATGGAGTGAAGGGGATGAGATTTCAAATGTATGGACATTATTTCTTAGGCAATGTCAAGCCATGGAAGAGAAGACTTCTCTGATGAGTAATACATTTGGGGAAGGTGGTCAGAATTCTGATTTAGAAAAATATTTGGTGATAATTATGCTAGCAGTACAGAAGACAGATCAGAAGGAGAGGAGAATGGAGGAAGAAGGGGCATTGGGAAGGCATTATTTTAGGTGAAAGATAAGGCAGTAGCAATAGAGAGGAAAGGTCAAAAACAGATTCCAGAGAGTAAGTCAAGAATTAGAGTTGAAGGATATTGAGGTATCTAACTTGGGGCATCAGGTGGGTCTTGGGATACACCACTAACATAGATAAATATTTAGGTGGAACAAGCAGTTTTGGAGATAAGATCAAGTTTTGGATTTGTTGCCTTTAAAGTTATTTTAGGATATCTGGG